AAGGGTAAAGAGTGACATTTTCCTGTGTGAAAATGTGCCAATTTAATGGCAACTGCAAAGGGTTAAATTGAATTTAGTTGAGAGGGAAAAGTTTCCCTTATGCATTTCACGAGAGTCAAAGTTTGCTTTTTTTTCGAGGTTCCTTTTTTTTGCTCCTTGCTCCTTGAACAGCATCATTTCCTTGAACCTTTAGTCTTGCCATCAGTTTGAATCCTGTTGAACCATTGATAGCAATGGATCATTAACAGTAAAAAAAGCTGAAAATGTTGGTAACAATGTCAATGAGACAATTCAAGGAACACAGTTGGCCCGATATCAAACCAAGGTCATAGGCCCAGAGGTTTTCTGAATTTAGGTCTGCACATATCATCATTTGCCATCATCATCCGAACAGATGAAACTATTGCTCCAAAGAAGAAAAAGAAAAAATCTTCCTCTTCCCGTTCTTCTTGTTCATCATCAGCTTGGTAAAAGTAAAAAGTAAATCTTATAAATTGTCTTCTGCGACATGAATGTTTTTTAATACTCTGTGGCACTTATAAAATTGGGGACACAAAATGTTGACCTGGGAAAATTTTCATCTCACATCAGCTTGTAAAAAGGAAACTGGTTCAATGTGAGAGACGAAAAGAGAGAGAGAAAGAGACAGAAAAAGAACGAAAAAAAGATTTTTGACAATTGTCTATGGGCTACTTGCTATTTTACTTGAAGACGGACGGAAGAGAAGATTTTGGCTTCTTTTCAGCTCCTCCATTCTTCCTTCCTTTCTCTCTCTCTCTCTCTTCCAATGATAAGTTAAACAAGGCCAAACTCCGTAACCGAAATTTACGGTGACCTTTCTTCTCCTTACTTTGTCACTATGTCTTTAGGTTACTCTAAAAATGACCTCGACTTTTCATTGTTACCGGGATAAAAATATATTCATCTCTATTATGGGATTTTTGGCGTTCATCATCGTCATCTTGCTTACCAGTGTAAACTGTTCATCATATAAGTGATGAGGAAGATGAGGATACCGATGGAAAAACAGTTGCAAAAGCAGCAGTATCCTGAGAGTGAGGGAAGAGGATGAAAAAAAAGAGCGAAAAGAACCCAAAAAAGTGTGTAAATTTATATTCATATATATAGATATTTTTGTTTGATATAAAAAGAAACCTGGATTATTTTCATTTGTCAAGTTAACAAATGAATTGAATTTGATTCAATCATCTTCTCTCAATAATAGCAAGGAAGCAAGATGCAAAAGTAAAGGTCATTGAGATGATGAGGATGATAATGATGATTACTTGCTTCTTTTACTTTCACTTCTCATCCATCTGACTGTGTCAAAATGCTTCTGGGTCTTTCATTTGCATTTGATGGTTTGTTTTGTGTTCATTTGCTCCTTGTCCTTCCAATGAACCCTCCGGTTATAACAATTAACCTTGTAAAAGTGAAAGGACTTTTCCATCTTTTTTCACCTTTTTTTGCATTCTTTTTTCATCTTTTCATCATATTGATGTCTGGTAAAGGCAACTAATCAAATTGCCATTCAAGGGAAATGAAGACACTTTTGTCCATTTGCACAACAGTCAAGGTTGATTTGATTAAATTGTATCAGATTAAAGGTTAGATGAGTTGAAGTCGACTCAGTTAATCAACTCAACAATTGCTAATAAGTTGATTATCATTATTTTGGTGTAAAAATTGAAACTCTTCTGTTCATGTCAACCAGTTATCAGTAAACTTGAAAAGTCGTTTAGTTAATGATTGGTTGATGAATTTAATTGTAAAATCTTGTTGAAACTTAATCATTTCATTCGTTTCATTCATTCATCCTCATCTTTTAAACATGATTCAACAATTTAAAGTTATTATTTCCAAATCAATCATCATTTTGTAAACTCACATTTTGATGATTACATTTCATGGGAAGAGACAAAATAGAATCATTTACAGCAGATTAACAATGAAATTGTAGTTCATTTCAATATTGAAAATTATTCATGAACCATTTTTGGGCAAATCAATTGTATTTCAATTTCAAGTTTAACTAATTTTTGATTATTTGATCTTTTAATGAAAATGGTTCCATTAGTAAACATTAACTTGTAATTAGTTGAGCATTTGTTTTGAGTTTGAAAGGTTAATTCAGAGGTTTATTGTTGCCTTAATATCATCATTGAAAAGTGAACAAATGATTATTTCAGTTTAAATCAATCAGAGCAATAAAATTAACTACCGAAGTATTACCCTTTACGTTCATATTACTTAAGATCTGACCTTTACCTGTTAATGTTCACTTTTCAAGTTTTCAACTTTTTCTGGTCTCATTTTCACTCTAATTATCATTATCATTATTATCATCTTGATTGGAGCGAAACATTGAAAGCAAAAAGGTAAAAAACAAAAAAAAGATTGAAATTTGTTTCAATTTTAACATTAAAATTGTTGCAAGATGAAAAATCGAGAAAATGTAAAGATGTTTAATGAATACACAGATGATGATGATGACCCATGAAGTGTCAACATGATTATTGGTACAGTTGCGATGAAAGGTCATCGACAGGATCACAACAAGGTCAACAGCTTTAAGGTACAAGAGGAATAAAAAGTTGACCAAAAACCGTAAACCTTTTGCCAAGGAAATCCATTTAACTGTCTCTTTACTATTTTTACTTTCACTGTTGTGTGTTGACCCTTTTGTTACCTTTGACCAGTAAACCAAGTAACACACTTGAAAGGAAAGCGTCAAAAGTGTAAATGTGGTCAAATGTGAATGTTATTATGTCCTTATGACCTTGGTAAAGATCAGTATAAATGATAATATCATTAATGTTTCTTCATCTCTCGCCATCATCCGCATCTTACCTCAAGATGATATTAATTGAGTTTCCATTCTCTCCCTCTCTTACCTTCACCTTTACTCACTCTTTTATCATTGCCTTATTGGGTAAAGTAAACTAGTGTGATTATTAATGTTGAAATTGAGGCCAAATTTCTTTAAGTTTGAGGTCAAAAATTCGTTCCTTATTCCGGCGAATGGTTTTGTGCGTGCAAATCAAGAAAAGTGCAGGAGTTGAAGAGGAAAAGAAGAGGATAAAAGAAGATGAAGATGATGAAGGAGGAGGAGGAGGATATGGAGGTGGAGTTGACAGGGAACAAGATGGGAAGAGAGGAAACAGCAAGATAATAGGTAAATTACGCGCGTTTTTTTCTCTCTCTTTTCTTCTTCTCTTCTCTTTCTTTCTCTCTTCATCCTCATTTTGATCATTATTGTTCGGCCTTAATAGTGTTACCAGTTCAGTCCATTTTCATTGAGTTAAACAAGATGATGATGTGAATAAAGATAATAATGAATACTATCATGAAAATCAAGGTTAGAGCAGAACGTGTTTTCACAGCACATTTTAACAGTTTCATTATGATGAACATTATTTTTCATTCAATGGGAAATTTTATTCAAATTGTTGCCGCAAACTTTTATTCTTGCGCCTAAATGATGATCATGATTGTGATCAGCTATTCAACTACATTCCATGATTAAGTTGTTCTGGTCATTTTTGAGTTACAGTAGTTTGAGTTGCTATTTTGCTTTTACACTCGACAGTGTTTTTTGAATTTTGCTTTTTGCTTCTCGTGTTTAATGTTTCATCTTTTACAGTTGATTTAAAGTTGGTTGGTTGGTTGGCTGATTGAAAATTGAAACAAAAAGATGTATTCATGAATAACTCATTGATATGGTGTCATTGAAATGAAACAATGTTATCACTTGCCAATGATTTTTGTCAATGAATGGGAAGAAGAACAAGAAAACTTGTTTTAACAAAATTGTTGTCAGTAAACTCAATATGTCAGTGTAACAGTTGTAAATGTTGCTTATTTTAATCATCAACCGTTCAGATTGGGTTAATTAAATGCTCAACTAACATGAGGTTCAATTGAAAGGTTAATGTGAGTGTGCAAGTATTTCAATGAGTTATGTAAGCCGTGCAACAACTGTCAGTGTGTAAAAGGGAAACAACAGTAAAAATCAATTTGAAAGAGCGACACAAAAATAGGGTTAAAGTTATGGTTAGGGGTTGTGAGGATGGATCAGGATGGCTAGGATGATGATGAAGGATGACGGATAGACTGGTGAGAAATCGAAAGCGATTCAATGGACCGCAAAAATAGAGTAAAAGCATTTGAAGATGTTTCGCTTTCAAACGGTTTCAAAGTTATCAACAAAACCCAGAGACAAGCGTATTAACATTATTATATTACAATAATGTTAATAATAATAGTACATCTAAATGCAATAATATATTTTCATTGACAGACGCCTGAAGAAGGGAAGAGAGGAAAGAGAAGATGAAGAAATAAAGAAAGAGAAGAGAGAAAGATGAAAGAGAGAAGAGAAAGAAGAGAATTGAAAAAAGCCTGGAAAACCAACATCGTCATTGTGGCCTTATGGCCTAAATCGTGTCCAAATAACTCAAGCTACTGACACACACACACACACAAATACAAAAGGTCACTTCCGTTGAAGATAGGGTTAAAGGTCATTCACAAGAGAGAGAGAGAGAGAGAAAGAGAGAGTTTTGTCCGTCCAAAATATGGGATAAGTTTTGACCTTATTTTTTTCCTCCTTTTTTTGGCTTGACCACAAGAAAAGGATTGAGAAGGAAGATGACGATGTTGTTGTTGATGAGGAGGAGGAGGAGGAAAGAAAGAGTTGAGAGAGAAAAAAAGAGAAAGGAAAAGTGCAACTTGGTAAAATTATGAATAGAAAGGAGCGTAAAAAGGAACCAAGATGTTTACACTTTTTGTGTGTTTGTGTTTGAGTTTAATTTTATTCAAGAAAAGCTTTGAAGTTTTTTTGGTTGCTGTTGAATATGTGGTTAACATTTTATCGATAGATGGCGGTATTAAAGTAAATTTCCCCCATTTTTATTTCCCTTTTGACCGCCTTTTACTGGTAAAGTCTCCGCCTATTCTTAGAGTGGCTCGATGTTCATTGCTTTACTATTGCAATCTTTTTTAGGTTTCATTTTTTTGTTGAGTCGTTACCTTGATTAACCTTTAGTGTGTTTATGTGAATTGTGTGTGTATGTATGTTAGTGTTGTTTTTTTTCTTCGCCGAGAACAAACTTAGTTTTCATTCTTTACGACACTTCTTACATGCTTCTTGTTTATTGTATTTGGCGATCCAAAATTGATGATTAAATGATAGTTGTTTACATTTTTATCAACAATTACGACTACAAACAAGACAACAACTTATAAAGTTACAAGTATTCACTGCTACTTTTACCTCTACTTTTATCATTGTGATTGCTCGTTAATTTTACCTAAATATACTGTTTCATAAATATATATATATATTTATTTATTTATATATATATGTATTAATCGTTTCAAATTGCTCTACTTTGTTTCATTCAACAATTACCAACCAGAACATTTGTGGACAAATAAGAAGGCGCTAATTTTTAGTCTAAATTTTTTGATTCAACAACAAAAAACCTATTTTTCAAGTTGACAACTTTTCAAAGCTTCAAACTGATTATCTCAAGTGTTTCAACTTGTCGTGAGTCTCCAGTTAGCCCAATGTTAATGTCACCAGACATGGGTTCAGAAGATTCTGACAATGAAATTTTGGACTTAACTCTTCCAGAAAGGAAACGAGCTGATGATAGCTCTAAACCAAGTTACAAAAAGTCGTTGATAAAACGCTACTGTAAGTTTAATCTTTCATTTTGACATCTTTTACTCTCATTATTGATACATTTTATTCTTTTCTCTTTCACATTCTACTTAATCTTGAGACATTTTACCTTCTTTCTTTTTCTGTCGCGTCTTTGACTGCCATAATTTTTGGTTAACTAACTAGCAAATCTAACTTGTCTATTGCTGTTATCTGCAACTTTTAAACATTTTTTCTTTTTCTCTCAATTTACAAGTTAACTTCTTTGTAATCATTTAAACATATTCATCTTTTGTCAACTTTAAGGTTTATTACAGTTTTATAAGATGAAAAGTAGTCCATTACAAGTTAACCCATTAGTCAGCTTAGTTGCTTAAAACTGTTGATCCATTAGCCTTAACCTTTACCTGTTTTCATCCAAACTTGGATTCATTTCTTTTTCTCTCTCCTCTTTTTTTTCCTTCAACTTTTCAACTTTTTTCTGGTCAAATTTTTCACTGAAACATTTTTACCGGGTTTATTATCCACTGAATATTGATGACAATTTACATTTATTATTATCAATTGATCATCTCTTTAAACGTCACATTTGGGTTACAATTGAGTTTAACTTGATAGCCAGTAAAATGCTTATTTACTCTGTTGCCCTTTTTACCTCTTGTTAACATTACACTTGCCATTTTTTTACTTACGAGTCATTTTAACTCCCTACGGGTCTTTTACCTTTAACCTTAGTTGTAACAACAAGTTATCTTTTAACCCGGGTCAAAATTTCGACCTGGGTTAACCTTTAGGAAAAATATCATTTTTCTCTTTTAGCTCATTCTTTAGCCATTTACCTGTCGACACACAAGCTAACGTGCTACTACGACTTACTAACCTCTTCTTCTTCTTCTTCTTCTTCCTTTTTTTTCTTGAACTTCTTTTTTGGGGTTACCTTATTTTCTTAACTGGAAACTAAACTTACCTTAACCTACTTGACCTTCAATTGACTGAACATTTTTTGCTGCTCTCATCTTTTCCATCATCATCATCACCATCATCATCTATTATTTGTGTTGCTGTGCTTGTTGTTTTGTTATTATTACTGTGATGATAACCAGTTGATGGATGTGAACCTCCTGCATCTTCATCATCCTCATCCTCATCATCACATCAACAATCACATCACTCTCACCATCACCCTGGACACCATGGCGGTGTCGGAAACGGAAATAACGGGAACAGTGGCAATAGAGACTCGAATGGCAGCGGCAATGGTCGAGGTGGATCATCTTCCTCGTCATCCTCATCCTCATCCTCCTCCCCCTCATCCGGTTCTAGGATGGGAAGTCCACCAAATTTAAGTTCATCCTCACCGTCAACAACACTTTTACAAAACATTTTACAAATGAGAGGTGCCTCATCTTCATCTTCAATCTCATCTTCTTCCTCATCACCTTCAAATTCATCTTCATCTTCAACCTCTTCATCTCAACATGCTCACCATCCACACCACTCTCAACACCATCCACACCATCCGCACCATTCACAGCACCACCCACAACACCATCCCCATCATGCACAGGCACAACATCACCCACAACATCATCCTCAACAACACCATCCCCACTCCCATCATCAACACTCTCATCATCATAATTCACATGATGGACTTCGTACCTCTGGACTTTTAGGCCCAACTGGTAACAATAGTAATGGATCTAATCATCTTTACAGTCCAATGTCTCGCGGAGGTTCATCTTCATCTTCCTCTTCATCAACCTCATCAAATTCATCGTCAGCCAATGGTCTTGGACATTTATCAATGGGACAAACAAATAGTAACACCTCTCCACTTCCTCCTTCACCAGCAGATTCCGGTGTAAGTGATGTTGACTCACATTACAGTTCCAACGATGAACAACACCAATTAAGCCAATATGGCTACTTTTATCCAACAAATGGACCGACTCATCATCGTTCATGTAAGTTGATTACAATTAATATTGCAAACAAACTGAAAAGAACAAATTAATTTGCCAATTTCATGGTTCAAATCAACAGCATTTCAACATCATTCTTGTTCAACTTTGATTGATATTATTTTTTTTATCATTTCAATGATAATCGAAAATGATTCCAATTCTCAACAGAAAAGAAATTATTTTTTCTATTTATTCATTCCTTTGTTTATTCCATCTCTTGATATCGCAATAATGATTTTTATTTTCAGGCGAATTTTCATTCTCTGTTCATGATTATGTTCATTGACAGAAAAAAAACTCATACTTTGATATGAATAATTTTGTTTTCGTTGCAAAAGTAAGGAAAGAGCTCGAGAGATATGATAATGTGTCAGTAATTATCAGTCGGGATGAAATTACAATTATTGTTATTTACTTTTTATCTCTTCTTCAATTTTATCAATTTTTTAATTTCCGATAAATTTTGAGCAATCAACTTGAATTTTTAGGATTAAATAGACGCAACTGATGAAACAAAACAAAACAATGAGCTTGAACCGGAAGAACCTTTATTATCAGTATATCAGTCGTATTATTTAGTTTAGCGTAAATATGCTGATTAATATATTTATGAAACATTGAGAGAGAGAGGAAGAAAAAAGAAAGTAAAAAGAGAGAAAGTAAAAGATCGATAGAAACTACATTTATCATGTCTCTCTCACTCTCTCTGATTCCTCTTCCCTCTTTGCCCTTGACTGTTATATGGAAGAGAAGAGACACTGATAGAATGTAAGAGACAGAGACAAAAAGAGGAAATAATGAGAGAGGAACAATAGAAGGAAGAAAGATATTGAGAAAGAGAGAGAGAGAGAAGGGGGAGGCTGAAGACAAAAAGGAAGACGGGAAAGTTTTGATAGAAACATAAAAGAAAGAGAAAAGTGTAAGTGAAGGATAAATGAGAGAGAGAGAGAAGAGAGAAGAGAGTTGATAATAAAACTAGAATCTGGTTGAAAGAGGGAGTTGGAAAGAAAGAGGAAAAAGAAAGAGAAGAAGGAAAAAGTGAAACAGGATATAAGAGAGAAAGAGATTGAAGACAGAGAGAAAAGTAAGGAAAGAAATGAAGAAAGAGAAGTTGATTATAAAACTAGAAATTGAAGTTGATGTTGAGAGAGTGAAGAGATATCGAGTGAGCAGGCAAGACCTTGAAGTCGTTCGATGCTCTCAATGAGGTTATTCATTGAGCGCTGAATCCACTTTTCTCACTCACTCTCTTCTTGCCTGGCTCACTCTCCTGTCCTTGAATTAGGACGGTCACCATGGAAACCTAATAGGGCGATGCACTCATTTGGTTTCCAAGGGCACATCAAGGATGAATCCAACCTTCTTTTTTTTCCAAACCATGAAAAAAAGAAACAACCTCAAAGCTTCTTTTTGCTGAATCTTTCTCTTTCTCTTCTCTCTTTCTTCCTCTTCTTTTCATTTTGATTATAGCATAACAGATAACATCCAATTCCTTTCTTTCTCTTTCTCTTCTTTTTTCTTTTTCTCTTATTTTTGTGAAAAAAAGTATTTCCATCAAAGCAAAGGTTGCTTGGTGACGCATCCTCTATCTTACCAATTTGAATCTTGTTTGTTACATGATGTTGCCTTTTCTTTCCTTTCTTATTTCTTCTCTCTCCTTCTTTTTCTTCTTCATTTTCATCATTATCACCATGAAAAGTTTCACGTTGCAGAGACACCTTGTGTTTGGTCGGGAAGATACACTTTTTACTAACCTACTTTGAGTGCGTTAATTTATATTTTAGCGAGACATTAATTTAATGTAAATTTGATACTAGTATTTACCAATTTATATGTATATCTGTACCTTTTCATTAATTATCAATTAGTCGATTTGAAGCTTCATATGATGTTTTAGGAAATTATTTTCTACTTTCTCTCTTTCGCTTCCTCTTTCTGTCTATCTTGCTCTCTCTCTCTCTCTTTTTATTCAGGACTTGCTTGTGTGTTTAGGTTTTTGTGCCTTTGATTTAGTGCTCTAATTGTTTTAATTACAGGTTATCATGTTCTATGTTACGATTGCTATCAAGTTTTTATTTTTAAATCGAAAATTTATTTGTTTCCATTTTGATGTCAAATATTATTCTGTAAGAATTGAAAGAGAAGCAAAAAAGGGCAAAAGAAAAATTTTGAAAGAAAAAAAAGAGGAGCAAATAGTAACCCAGTTTCAGGCACTATTAGTGACCTGATCAATTTGACATTCAAAGTCGCGCCAATCTTCTTTTGCTTCTTCTTTGCTCATCAGTAGCTTACCTTTCTCTTCCCAGTTGTTCATTCAATTGATGAAAGAAAAGAAAGAGAAAGGGGTGAAATGAAAAAATTATCACTTTAAGTAGGCGAATGTTTAACCAACTTGCTTTGTTATTAACTTGTAACCAAAAACAGTAACTGTTTATAAAGCAGAACGAAAGGTAAACACAAACGGCGATGATGATAATAACGATCCGGATCCGTCAACAGCAAAACGAACGAACGAACAAAATCTTCTTCTTTTTGGCCTATTCTGCTTTCTAAAGATTGAAAGATTCCTATTATAAGAAAAAGAGAAAGGTGGGAAAATGAATTGGAAATCGAGGAATGAAAGGTTAGTGAAGAGGAGGAATGAAAAGACTAATCATCATGTTGATGATCTCCATCAACTCGATTAATGTTAACAAAAAAAAGAGAAGCTTTCAATGAACATTATGTTTTGTAGAAAAATCAAGGCCAAGATCAGTTCAGAATGTTGATATAATAATTATAATAGTTTTTGATGAAGTTGATGATGATAAGGTTGATAACAATGTTAATGGTATGGTGGTTGATGATGATTTTGGTAAAAAGTTTGATTCGGTTAAGGGTTGAAACGGTTAAGAGTTGAATCGGTCGTTAAATATTGTCTCAAATTCAGGTCACTTTCATTTCCTCATTCGTCCTTGACTCTCTTCAGTATTCCATGCTTACTCTTGTTGCCATCGTTTTTTTTTGTCAGGATTAACTTACACAAATACTTACATTTAATATAATCTTATCGCTGGTATCGATAAATAAACAACACTGAGAGACAGGAAAAAAAACAACAGGAAGTTATATTAGGTGAAGCACACTAAATGTACATGTACAAGACAGACTTACCAACAAATGTAAAAACCAAAGTCCAGTGGAAAAAGTTGACCAGAATTTTGAGAAATAAAATGTCACTTTAGATGATAGTTTCAATAAAAGGTGAAATCACCGAGAAATCAAAATGTAGAAATGATTGATTAATTTAGTTCTTAATCAATGTCAAACCGAGAGGCTCTGGTTTAACAGCATTTTTCCAACGTGCATCGTCTACAAGTGTTGAACCAGTAAAATGGAGGGAAAAGAAAGGTTCTCGTCCTTTCTGGTTACCAAGGGTTACTGGTACCATTGTTAATAACGCTTATGTTACCCTTTCGTAACCTTCAACTCTGATTAAACTGGTAACAAAGAAGAGACAAAATGTTATCAATCTTAGCTTTTCAATTTTCCTTCAACCTTTTTAGCCTTTGAATCATAACCTAAACATTGAAAGAGTAACATTTTGTCAGTTGAAATAATGATTAGTAAATTTGCAATTTTTATTAAACAGCTAAAACTTGAATTTCTCATTCTGGTTGAATGTTGAACCTGTCTAACCATTATTGTTACATTTTTTGAAAATGAACAAATTTGAACTGATAGCAAAAATTTCAAGTTTAACAAAAAGGTTGCCTTTTTAGGTTTTGTTCAATTGTTAAGCCAATCAGAGCAATTAAATTAACTGCGTAACCCATTAGAATGCTGTTGATCCATTAGCCTTAACCTTTACCTGTTTTCATCCAAGCTCGTGTTCACTTTTGTTGCTGTTTTTCAAGTTTTACCAAATTTTTTTCACTTTTTTTTTCTGGTCTCATTTTCACTTTAATTCTTGATCATTAATAGAATTATTTGCTTGTATCAACATCATTATAACTTATATTTGTAATGTCGTTACTTGTTAAATCAGGGTCAATTGTCTTCTTTTCATTGTTATCAGTTTATTGTCAAAGTTGGCAAACAAAAAGCATCGCCATTTTAATCACTTTATCAACCAAAAAATGGTTACCTAAACTTGCATCTGTGATAATTTCAACGATAGCCTGTATAACTTTCACTGAATTATAAGCATTAGTTAATTATTTCATTTCCCGGTTTCAATCAGACTATTCATGTTGCATTAAACATAAATGATTGGCTTCTTGTTGATGAAAGTAAATATGTCTTTTTATTGTTATTAGGTTGAAATTTTTCCTTATTCATTTTCATTTAAAAAAGTCACCATTATCAGGTGAAAAAGAAAGAGATTTATTCGATACAGGTAAAGTAACGTAAAATGATTACTTCTATCTTCCTCTTCTTCTTCTCTTTCGCTTTTTCCTTACAGGTCAACTCATTTTCCTTTCTCTTTTCCTTACCTTTTACTCTAACCAACAAAGAAAGACGAGAAAGTGAAAAAATGAATGACCAGTAACGTTTAAGGGTCACGGTCATCAAGAATGTAAGACAGGTAGAGAGAGAGAAAAAAGAGAATAAAAGAAATGAATAGAAAAGTTGAGGATGAAACTTCATTGGCCTTACGAGTAAAGTACTTTGAAAAGGTACTGAAAATGTTACGAAAGTAAGCAAAAACATTTTACCTCAAGATGAACTTTTCACTCTCTTCGTCTCTCTTTCATGTTCTGCTCTCGAGTTTGACCTGTTTTTTGCACCATTTACCAACGAATCAACTAGTTGTCCTTTTGAGCATAAAAACAAACACACAAATAGTCGACGCAAACATCGCCAAAACAGCAAACTCACGTAACAACTTTCGTCGCACCCAACAAGATACAATTACTGCCTACTTCAAGTCTATTGCTATTCAACATTTTCCGATATTTTTCATAAAATTAATCAAATTGCAGTCAACATGAAACAATTTTTTGATGGTTTAAATTGTTTTTTGACTACAAAAAAAGATCAAATTGGAAACCTAAAAATATTTTACAACCAGAACCCAAATATTGCCATGATAATCAAATGGTAAAAATGGTAATCATGAAAGTTAATAAAGTTAATAGTGGATAAAAATGATGAGATGATGATGGTGATAATATCAGAAAAGGAGAAGAAGAAAAAATAGAAAAAAATAAGAAGAAGAAATGAAAAGAGAAAAAAGATGGAGAAGTTGATTGTGGAATAAAAAAGGTGAATATTAGGTACTTGATTTTTCTCTTTCATTTTTCTCTTTCTTTCTCTTCTCTACGTTTTTTTCCTGTTGTTGAAGCAATCGATAGAATGAGAACTTGATTCTTGTTTTCCTCTCTCCTGAAAAAATCCAACAACTCTCCTGGTTGCTTTAGTTGTTAGCTTCAATTCAAGGTAAGAATAGGTCATTCGTCTCTCTGTTTATCCTTCAAATTTTTTTATATATATATTAATGTATATTTATATTTATCTACTCTCTTGACTCTCTCGTCTCCCTCCATATCTTTCCCCTGTTGAAGCAAAAAAGAGAAGAGGTGGAAAAAAGGAGGAGAAGAGAGAGAGATGATGATAAGAGAGAGGGGATAATTGATGAGGGAAGTCAGAAGAAAGTAAAAGTGAGAAAGTAAAAAGGGAGTTTCATGAGTTTTTTGTCAGACTTTTTCCTGAACATTTTCATTCTCTTTCTCCTTTGTCTGCATTTTTCCTTCTCTTTTCTATCTTATCATTTACTCTTCTCTTTCTTTTCTCCCTTTTCCCCTGTAACCTTGAAAACGAAAAACTGAAAACTTAGTTTCAGCTGAAATACACAGCAAAGTGAGTAAATAAGTAACTAAAGTATAAAAGAGTAACAATAATAACTGAGTAAGAAGTTATTGAATTATTGAAGAGAAGGAAAAAAAATGTTGCTGTTGTTGACTGATTCGTTGAGATGCTGAGAAGTTCAATTCGTTGGAACGTGATTCCAACGATTTTTCCTTCGTTTCCATTCCTTTAACTCTGTTTAAACTCGCTTTCAATTCTTCCTTTTAATAAAGGCGAGGGAAGAAACAACAACAACACAAAATAAGAGTCAAGATCGGCCATCGACTTGAAAAATTAGAAAAGCATAAACAGGTAAACAAGTTATAAACAACAACAATAACAGATATAAAGCGCTCTATCAAAAATGTTTGCTACGAAAAAACTTTTTTGTCCTCAAAACAAGTTTGTTCATTTTGTTTCTCATCACCACTTTCAACGCTTTTATTATCATGCTATTATCATCATTATTATGCTGCTATTATTTAATAAAAATTGTTTACCAGTTTTTAAAAAAAAATTGTTAATCCACAAAAACGGTTGCATGTTATTGATGAAAAGGTATGAAAATGGTCATAGAATGGACTGAGATGAAGAAAAAAAGGAAAAAACTTTCTCCTTGTTTCTCATCCTTCTCATCGTCTTGCAAGGCATCTTTCAATACTATTTAGCATCTTCCGCTCTCTTCTCCTCCCTCTCATCATTGTCATCTCTTTTCACTTTTCACCGAGAAAAAACTTTCCCTCTCTTTCATACAGATTTGCTTTCTTCTTTTATTTCACTCTTCTGTGTATTTTTTTCATCTCACTTTATCTTCCCTTCCTTTTCTCTCTTCACTTTCCCATTCTCTCATTTTTCATCCGTAAAACTGGCTTCTCTCTCTCTCTCTTTCCAGACTTCCTTTCTCTTCATCTTCCTTTCAGGATAGTCTTGTAACTATTCACTGAGGGGAAAAAAGATTACCATTCAAGATGTGATTTTTTTTCCAGGGCGGAGGTTTCAACGCAAACAACAACAAACGTTTTCTCTCGTAAATATGACAACTCACCGAGAGTTGAATTGATTTTCCGCTTTCATTTAGCCTGATTCGCCAATTTCTATGTTACCTTTTTGTGTAGTTTAAATCACCTGATTAGATGATAGTCGACAGGTAGTTGGGAGTGAAAAGCATAGTTGTGAGCTTACAAGAAACAAAGAGAAATGTTTCAACTTGAACATTTTTTTTTGATTGATTGAAATTTACTTTATTGATACTTTCAAGTTTTGAGGTAATAAATTAGTGATTGTATTAAATTTACAAAAAAATCATGGTTCAGGTACAATTGTTGAATACCTACCAAGTGAGTTGAGAGGTAAAGTTGATTGTGTTTTCTGTGGAATTTTGTTTAATCAGATTTTCCTTTTTTTGGTAATCATTAGACCAGGATTACTCTGTTGCCCGAAAGTATTTCAGCCAATTTACCATTGCGTCCAAGCTCTGCCAACCCGGGCTGTTGTAAGATGTAAGCTCGGGTCGCTTGTTGTCCATTTTGGACGCCTTGTTGAACTGCTTGGTAAACATTTCCATTTTGAGCAGTTCTGAACAGAATCGCACCATTTTGAGCTCCATTGGTCAACAAGTTATTGAGCAACGATCCTTGAACCCGTTGAACTGTTTGAGGGTTTCCTTTGTTGACTAGCTGATGAGTTACAATATTTTGTTGGTAACCTTGATGACCATGATCGTGTGAATGGCCATCATGTTTATGATGATGATGATGATGATTGGCGTGACTATGAGAGTGTTTATGACCATGGCCATGTCCATGTTTATGGAAGACTTTCTTACCTGTTGTTGTCGTTGAAATTATATGATATAAGAAGAAACATTTAGTTATTTTTGCCTGTCATTATAAACCTGTCCGGTTGTTTCTTACCTTCATGATCATGATGATGATGAACCTCTTTTTTACAGCATTTATGTTTGTGACAATGATGGTGATGAGCTGTGACTAGAAATACAAAACTCACGAACAGCAATCCTAATAAATATGATTTCATCTTTGATCACTTAACCAAAACTCAATTTGACACAACACAACAACTAGTTTAACCCGTTAAGCAAAGAGTTGGTTTGCGTTTCCAAGTAATTCCGACTCGCGTTGAACTGATCTTGATGTGTTTGATGTCGATCACTAACTAATTGTTAATCTAACTTGCAAATTAACTTATATACTATCAAGTCTTGTCCATGACAAAAAAAGTAAATCTTCATCTATTGAAATTAGTTAATTTGGTGATGATTTACTCTTGATTCGGGTTTTATCCTTATTTCAATCTCGGTTTTTCTATTGATTCACTAATCTACAAAACAAGAAACCATTTAATTAACAAAATTTGACACTTTTTTCAGGTAAAAAAGGCCAACTGACAAAAAAATTAGGCCTTTACCTATTCATTTAGATTACCTATTTTGACCGTTTAGCTTCAATGATCGCAACCTAGCTTTGTAATTTGACTTTTGACTTAATTTTACTCTTCTTGAAATGTTTAACCATTCAATTGATTCTCAATGAAAGTTGTTTAAAATGTTCAAATTACAGGATGATATTGTTTCCTGATCACTTGCTAATTGAAACAAACTCCTTCGGCCTGGTTAACCTTTGTAAAAAGTGACAATTACTTGTACAATTAAAGGTCAATGGTGTAAACTTAGTGACATCCAATTTGAATCAACAATTGATTGAAACAATGCAAAATAGAGGTTGAATTAATTTTCAAATGAAAACAAAATGAAACGATGATGATGATGAAAAAAGGAAATGAAACACAAAGAATCAAGTTTATTTGAAATGAAGGAAGGAGGAAATGTTATTGCTATTATTGTAATAATAATCATTAATTAATCCTAAACCTCTAACTAAAAGATGAATACTTAATAAAACCTAAGTTTTGTATGATAATTGCATTTTCACATGAATTTAAACAAAGTGACCAAAAGTGACTGAAATGAAGCCCGAAATCTGTTAATTATTGAAGAAAGGTTGAATTTTTTTGCCATGCAATGAGAACATGAAGTCAATAATTGTTATGCATTAGTTGCTGGTGAAATTTAATTGCTGAGTAACCGAGAGAGCTTTAAAAAGCTCTTCCTCTCTCTGTAACAAAAACCGATTGAAGATAAACATGGATTCACTTCCTCCCTTAAAAAACGCTTCATCTTCCCTCCCTCTCTTTCCTTTCATCTCTCCCTCTCTCTTTCACACACTCATCTTCCCTCTGCTCTTTTGACCGACTTTTTTTCCTGTTGAGAGTCTAGGACCTACTTTCGATGCAAGGCCAACGGTTTCCTTATTATACTCAACATTATTTCCAATTTATGTCTATGGGAATTTTCAAGTTATCACAATAATAAGGGCAAGCTTATTATAAAAAAATTGTGCCTCCAACCAAATGTTTGATATTGGGATAAAAGGGTAACATCTTGCATCTTGAACAGTTATAAATCCCCTTCCAATCACTTTAACTTTATTTTTCTCATCATCAGCTTGATATTTGTGAGAAAGCAAAAAATAGTTTAATCTCAATCATCTGGAGACCGGATGATGATGATAATGATGATGAATTTACGAGCAGTTGTCTAATGATCTTGAAAGGAAGATTGTTTTTTTTGTGTCATTCAAATTTTTTCTCAATCAACTTTTTCCATATTTCGTTACCTGTTGAACAAGCTATTCATTAATCATTTGATTATTGGCACAAAACGTGTTTAAATGTTTAATGTTTAACTTTGCGCTGTTACGTTTGAACCTGAAATTGAATTGCGATAACCAGGGAAAATATTTTTCATGTTAAAACTATTAATAACAATTCAATATAATTTATCTTTTCAATTTTGTTATCAACATGTTTTAATTAATCTAATTTAATCATTTTTTTATCTTTCTATTTGTTCAGATCTGTCAAATCATTCACAAAGTGAGTTATCCCATCATCAAGGTAATCAAGGTAATGGCAATCTTATTATTGATAATTAAACGTTTTCACCTTTTTTGTGTGTGTGTTTGCAAGTTTACATCAAATTTTACCCAATTATTGAATAATTAAAAAAAAGTTGTCCAATTAACATGTCAATCAAGTTTGTAAGAAAGAGTGAATTTAATTTTATTGGAAAATTAATTAACTGAGAAAAAAATGTTTAAATAAGTTACACTGAAAATGATTTACAGGTAATTTGGATTAAATGATGTTGCACTTGATGAAACCTAACAATATATTATTGATAGTTTAATAAGATTAATATTATTATTCAATTAGTTAAATCAATTGAAATGATGTTAATTGATTTTTCAAATTATCATATTGCAATGAAATTAAGATGAAAACAAATGGCATGAAGAATGAAAGATTTGATCAAAAGTGATTTACTTTTTATCATTAGTTGCATAAAGAAAGGAAAATTAAATTTGATTAAGTTTACTAATTAATTGCTATTTTTATTATCATTAACATGATTAGATATCACAGTTGGATCATCTGGATTAGGCCTTGGTGTAGCTGAAGATCTCTCTTATCACAATGCTTCGGCATTGATGAAGAAAAAGAAAGGACGTAAACCCAAAGGTTCACCTGAAAACATGACTGGACCCGGTACCCCAGGTGGACCTGGAGTCTGTCCGAGTTCAACTAAAAGAAAATCCCGTGAAGGGTCAACAACTTTTCTTTGGGAATTTTTATTGAAATTATTACAAGACAAAGAGTATTGTCCAAAGTTCATTAAATGGACCAACAGAGAGAAAGGTGGGTATCGAAAAAGTATATCCATTAATTGTTGAGCGATAGTGTTAACTGAAATTAACAAAAAATGGTCAAATTAACAGGCAAATGAGGACGAAAAGCCTTTGAAACATTTTTTCACTTGATTTTTGTATCGAGTAGAAGTCATTATTTTGCTATTCAACACTCATTTCAATTCAGGCTAATTCATTGATTTGTTTGTCGATTCATTAGTTGATTCATCCCATTGATTCAACAATCAAATTGAGAGTTACTTTAAGTGAATTTGATCATCAAATGAAGCAATCTATGAATGAACAATCCTTAACAATTGAACAACTTGTTTCCCAGCCTTTTGTGTTTTTTTTCTTGTTTTTTTACTAACTTTCACTTTTCCTTTTCACTCAACAGGTATATTTAAATTGGTTGATTCAAAAGCAGTTTCTCGCTTATGGGGGTTGCATAAAAACAAGCCGGATATGAATTATGAGACTATGGGCCGAGCACTCAGGTGAATATTTTACCTGTATTTACATAGCCAAGGCGCAAAGCACTTTGAAGATAAACGCTCAAGAAAAATATTGTCAATTGCGCTGTTCGACAGGATATAACTTTCACTTGCGGTTCCATCATTACTCAATTCATCATGAATCATTATTTGCTTTTCTTCATTTCACTCAAATATTATCATTATCATTAGTATGCATAATTGCGTTTCATTTGATTGTTTGTGGTTTGCTTTTTACTCTTTTGTTAAACTTGTAGGTTTGTCGAGTTTTTTGGTAACTTGAAATTTTAATCAGATCTAAATGATTCAGTTTTCAGTTGAGATTACTTTTGAGAAATGCCTTTTCGCTAAATTGTGTACATTCAAAAGGTCAATTATTCATTATTATTATGATTTTTTTTCTCAATCAGAAACAATATCCTGTTAAACTTGAGCTTATTGAGCAAATTGAACTTTTTTCCATTTTACTCAATAATTCAGTTAATAATGTAGTTGTAACAATAAAAGGTCAGAAGCCTTTTGCTATTAACCATTTCAAAGTATATTAAGTAAAGGGGAAAAGAGGTTCATATTAACCCTACCAATTGAGTTTAATTGTCATTACAAGTCAATATATTTTTTTAATGTATCAATGAATTTTCAAGGTGAACTTAAATCCAAAGAAGCAAAAGGAAAGAGTCGAGTAAATTTGAATACAATCAATAATAATGATAGTGTTCAATGATTAATCAAGTTTAACAGCAAACCATATTAAACAATGAAATGAAGATCATGCAAATAACTAGATTCCTGTTGAAGTATTAACAGGTTAAAGCAAGATGATATCTTTTCTTGAGGTTTATCAAAGTGGAAAAGGTGACAAAAAAGGAGGAAGAAGAAAGAGTCTAAAAAAAGGGCAAATACTGTTGTCCACTTGAAGGGTTAAAGGTCATTGACTAACCAAGAAACTGTTACAAGCATTTACGGATGAAAAGAGAGGAAAGAAAGAAAAGAAGGGCACAAAAAAGAAGTTTTAAGTTGAAGTAAAATTGCTGATGTTGTTTGGCTTTTCTTATGCCAAACGTCTTGAGCAAACGTCACCGGGTTACCGCCAATCCTTGACCCACTAACCTCAAACTTTCGCCTTCGTTATCTACGTTTGTTAATAACCTTTATTATTATGTTTTTGCTTATCTTTCTAATCTTTTGTTTTGTCTTTCTTTTCTTTCCATCTTACCTTTTCTCATTCTTTCCTCCCTCTCTTCCCTTCTTCTTCTTCTTCTCTTTCATCTTCCTCATCTTTTTCGTCCTTTTTCTTCTCATTCTCGTTCTCTTTTCCTTCTCACCTTTACCTTATTACCATTTTACCATTAACTTACAGATATTACTATCAAAGAGGAATCTTGGCCAAAGTTGATGGTCAACGTTTAGTCTACCAATTTGTTGATGTCCCCAAAGATATTATTGAAATCACACACGATCCAAATAATTTTTATAATTCAAAAGAGGATTCCAGGAATCCAGTATCTGATTGTTTGGAATCAGTTTTACACAGTTCTGGGGATTTGGGAGGATTTTAAATTGATCCTGATGTATTATTATAATTATTAATATAATTATTATTATTATTATTGCATAATTATTATTATTATTAATATTATTATTATTATATAATTATTATTATTATTATATATTAAGATGAGAAACAAAGCGAACACCATCCGTCTGTCCCATTGAACCTTTCAACCCTTTTTTTCTTATCTAACACCTCTTCTTACACCTTGTCTACATTGCCTTACCCTTTGCCTTCTTACCTTTGCCTTTTCAAGCCTTGACAAAAAAAGACGTTTTTCCACTCCATCATCCTCACCATCATCAATTGTAATCTTCATCTTCATCTTGTTCACCTCAAAGCTTCGCAAATACTTTAACTACTGTTTGTCCCTCTTGTTCAATCCCTTAAACATATTTTTTCCCTTCAAATTAACAGTAATAATAATATGTAATGTTCATTATTATCGTTAAAAGTGTGGTCATCCTCATCATCATCAACAAAAAAATTGTTCATTATCGCTTCATCCTCCTTGCCTTTACAAATGTTCACATTTTGCCTCCATCATCTTTCCCTCCTTCTCCTCCTTCCTTTTTTTAACCCACTCCAATCTTCCTCTTCTTCATCTTTCGCATAATAACTTTCCTCTGTTTACCAATATTTGGTCAATCAAATGAGATAATTAATTGTTAATCGTTGAGCCATTCTTGTTTATTAAGAGCGAAAAATGATTGAATGAATGAATGATTTTTTCTCCATTTTCAAATCTCTAAAATTAATGTAAACCCGTTTTACCCTTTTTTTTAAAAAAAAACATTTCATTTCATGATGCACACAACAACCAACAAGATTCAACAAAAAAATGATAATTTTCAGCTTATAATAAATATTTTCTGTCAACGAACACCAACAAATCATCAAAAAATCTACAAAAAGAGAGATTGAAAATTGAAAAGTAAAAAAGTCTTTACCTAAATAAACCTATTTTTTTTCTTGATCCACAAAAAAACTGTAAATGTCTTGTTTATTTCAATTTAATTTATTAACAACTTTGGTCTTGAACGCGTTCACCTTGAATCTTTTACTGCAATTTGTTCCCAAAAAGTTTATTAACCCAGTTATCTTAGACTGTTCAAATCAACAAATCAACATGATTTATTCAACATTAACTTTTCCCAATCTCATGAAACTCTTTAAGTTTAGCTTTTTATTTTCTTTTCAGGTAAATTAAAAATGTTTAATTTGCACTTTTACTTTCACTTTATTAAATTGGACTCATTAGTTAATTTGCTATTATCATTATCGGTATTATTAGTTAATCGGTGAATATAAAATAACCTTAATAATAACATTTCGGACGATTAGGATAAAAGCTTTAAATATTTACAAAAAGGAACCAATGAAAGGCTATTTAGAGTCATTTTTCATTTCAATAAATTATTCAATTATTTTGGTTAAATTGAACACATTTGAACATTTTGATTGTCAAACTTTGATCCATAACAGGTAAAAAAATTGAAAAATAAAACAAGGAAGAGTCAAATTTATGTATTAGCTAATTTAGGTTACGCTTAAGTTTATTAGTTTTGTCTCTAATGCGTTAACTTCATTTTCCATTCGTTTCGTATGTTAATCTGTTTACCTGTTTTCTTGGTGATGAACAAGAGGAAAAATGATAGTTAATTAACATGATATTACACTCTCACTTTCTCCACGATTATTTCAGGATGAATCAATTTTCACTCTTCAACATAGACAATTGCATTATTTGAAATACAGTTGCAATAACAAATTTATCTGTTCACTGATAAAATTGCTTTAGGTTATATTTGATTAATTTCAATTTTAAATTGAATTTTGACTGTAATTCACATTGAATGTTGTCACAAGTTGAAAGCTCATCGTCTTTGCTTTCCCATGATTGAAACAAAATATCGAAACATTTTCTGATACAAAAGGCAAAAAATGATGCTTTGAATGATGCGTTATGTTCCCAGAGTGTCATCTTGATGCAAAAAATACGACGATTTAATTGATCACTTTTTATCGGAAATTGTGTATTTCTCGTAATTTTTACTTGGATCATAGGGTTCCCATCTTGATGCTGGAAATATATGCTTGTTTCTTTCGTACCAACTTCTCATTAACACTTTACCGGCGTGAGATTCGTCTTTCTCTACTGTTGCATCAGCAAGTAAACGGATATCTTCATGAACATCAAAATTAAAAAGTGGTCCAGATTTTCCTCGCGCTTTTGTTACTATGAAATCGTAGAATGTGTAATGATGTGGTATAATTAAATCTTCCTTCACGTACATTAGTTGGTCAGCAGCTACAGCTCGAAGCTCGTGGAACTCTTTACGAAGCAATTCCAGAGTTTTTTGTAAAAATTGATAGATTGTATTTCCTTTTTTCATTTTTACGCTTCGTCTATGCCCTGATCCATCCCAGAAACTGAATGTAATTTCAATATCCTCATTCTTTATTTTTTCTTGCTGCTTCACCCATTCTTGTCTCAGCTCTTCACGAAGCTTTTTTTCCTCTTCTTCTCTGTCCCGATCAGGAAGGAAACTTGTATCAACTTCAGGATTTTTCATAATCTTTTTCTTTTTTCGAGGCTACAATAAAAAAAGAAAAGAAATTACATTGTAAATGGGGAAAATAAAGGAAAAGGCAAAACTTTGCAAATTCAAAAGCTGTTAAATTGATAAGATATTTTCTATTATTTCCTACTTTTGAATTGAAAGTATTATTTACGAACGTGATTCGATTGTTAATTGGAAGCTATAGAAAGAATACTAAAAATCCAGAAAAAACAAATATTTTTGACATTTAAATGATTAAGACAAGCAAAATTAGCAATGATGCAAATAAAATAACATAATTTCAAGTAATAAAAAGCCTCATTTTGTATTATGAAATTTACAATTGTTCACTAACTACTATCAGTGAAAAATCGCTATCAACTAAATAACTACTAATAGAAGTTAATTTCACTTTTGCAATATTTTCAGATGTTTTTCAGTTTCCAAGAGTAAATTTGACGACAAATGCAAATATAAAGCTAAAAGCTATATAATGACTAAAAGTAGCAAATTTTGAAATATCGGCATATTCAAACAATACCTGTGATAAATTACTACTCGAATCTTCAGATTGACTGTCATAATTTGTTTTGCTGATGGATTTATCTATGGAACATTCATCTTCACTTATAATAGTGTCCGGCTTTCTAGAAGTTTCATCATTAGATTTGGAAATTGGTTCATCTTTCCTATCCGATTCACGGTCTTTTTCCTCTCCGGCTCCTTCTTCATCTTCTTCTTCCTCTTCTTCGTCGAATTTAAATGACAGAGTTTGTATCTAGATAATGGAAAACAATTAGAATGAAAACATCCAAAGATACTGAGAACATTGCTTACTTGTTTCTTTTGCCTTTCTTTTTGTTGTTTCTTTTCTTCTATTTCTTTCAATTTCATCTGCTCATTTTTCTGAACCAATTTTCTTTCTCTTTCTTTAACAAAATCCTCCTGTTTAGCTTTCATCTCATTGAGAGAAACCAAACCGATGGTTGATGATTTAAGTTGAGCTTCGATGGCATCATAATGAGCAGCGAATTTGTTATCAATACTTGAGAGCTTCAATTCTTCTTCAATCTTTTTTTTACGCATTTCCAATTCCTCCTTGGCCTTTTCTCGTTTTTTCTGTAATTGCAATGCTCTTCCAGCCTCACTAGCGGCTCCTTTGTACATCGCCATGATTATTAATTGAAATTAGTCGGTAAGAACCAAACTTTAGTAGAAACAAAAAACAGCTCAAGTTGATCTGTAATAGAGAAATATGAGGGATAGTATTTCATCAAGCAATAGCATTAATTATTACTTACTGAATCAGTATTCAGTTGATTTAATAAACACCGTAACTATAAAAAGTACATTCAAATAAAAACACGAGAATAAATCATAAACATAAAACCAATAAATTGTTGATACAAAGAAATGTACTCTGAAAAAAATATCAACTGTTTTTTACAATTAATCGATGTTCGATTTTATAGATCGATTGTATTATCGATATTAGACAATTTTATGAAAATTTATTAACGTGTTTAATTGATTAATTGTTTCTACTGTTTTCTTTTATTATATCTAAGTGATACAATCAAACTGATATCGTCAAATTCACCATGGAACAAACTGATCGTGATGCCATGTGGGAGGAATATTTGAAGAAAGCTAAATTGCTGGAAGAAGTAATTGATAATGTTGGTACCAATAGCTCACATGATTCCGTAGACAGTGGTGATGTTAATGATGCCATAGATGGTGATTCACTGAAGAAAAGCAAAGATGACCAAGCCAATGAAAAGACGAAAGCTCATTTGGAAGAAAAATTTAATCAGCTGACTAATCAACTGGATGAATTGAAACATCTTTTTGCTGAGTTGAAGATATTTCTTCCTGCATATAATTTAAGAAGAGCTCAAGAAATACTCAACAATATGAAAGATAAAATTGAAAGTAAAAGAAAGCTAATACTACCAAGAAAAAAGTTCTCGTTTAAAGCTCAAGCAGTGCCATTAATGGTGATGGCAGCTTCTGCGGATCCTGTCGTCCAAGGAATGTCAAAGGAGACTAAAGATTTAATTTTTGGGTCCTTTTTTGGTTTCAAAGATATAGTTGATGGAAATTTAATCATCGAAAGATCACAGTCTTTGGGTAAAGACATTCAGCTGATCAATTTAACCAATTGTAAGGTTTATATCAAAGGTCGTCCTTGTTCCGTCAGCGTGTTCAAATGTACAAATAGTGAGATCAATATTGGTCCAGTTGATAGTTCTCTGTTCATCAATACTTGTTCCGATTGTTCGTTTCAAATAATGTGCCATCAATTAAGAATTCACCAGAGTCGTAATTGCCAGTTTAAAGTTCACTTAACCAGTCGAGGTATAATTGAAGATTCTTCTGGATTGGTTTTCACGCAATATTCCTGGACTTATCCTGGTTTTGAAGAAGATTTACAATTGACGACTCTTGACCTAACAAATAACAATTGGGATGCCATTGATGATTTCAATTGGCTTGTTAAAGATAAGCCATCACCTAATTGGAGTCGATTAAACATAACTTCTTGAACAACGAGACCAAGATATGAGAAAGGGATAGGAAGTACTATTCCTTTACCTGTTCGTTTGTTCAAAGATCATAATCACGTTTTTTTCAAGATGATCGTTTTAAAGCTTCTAATCTATAAGTACAATATTGAAATAGATCTAATTGATCTATACAGATTTCAAATAGTATATCGCATGCCGTCGACCAAGACTAACCAAATTTGTTTACTCAGATTTGAATTAATTCATCCGGAAAATCTGTTATTAAAAGAAACGAGCTTTCATTCTGTATTATTAATTTTTGCTTATTTTCAACACCATTCGAATAATTATCTTCAAAGATTATCAATTTATCAAAACTGTTTTCTTTTCATTTTATAACGTTCAATTAACACAATAAACCAACCCATCCGGCAAAACAAACAACTTGAGACTAATATTCTCGATTGATAAATATGTACCGGTATTCTGTGACAAAATATGATTTATCGGAAGCATCAAACTAGACATGAGATTAAGATAGTTAGAATCTTCATTAAGATATCTCAAATATAAAACTATTCAAGGTTTGCGCTTCAGTGTAGTATCGAGACAAGAACCATAGGTTAGTTTGTTAGATTGAATTAATCAAGAACAATTAGGTCCGATTTAGCAGCAGGAGTTAAGTTTAACTAAAGAAACTGAATACACTGCTTCATACCCGCTTGAAGTTGGAAAATCTTGACTTGAACATCAAGAATTAAAAATAACAGAACATGACTAAAACTTACAATTCTAAAAGAATTACCAAATAATAATGAAATAGCAAATAGCATAGATTTATATTGTCATCTTTTTATTGGATGCAGGAGAAACACCATAGAACAAGGTTTTACAAAGTTGAAAAGCAGGATCATCTCCGATTAATTAATTTACTTTAATTCTTTAACTTGAAGTCCAGGAGGTAAAGATTGCTTGAGCTTCTCTGCCTTTTCTCGGTCCTGTGTAACCAAGGTGTACAAATACCTTGAACATCGTACCTTAAATTTAACATTATCCTTATTTTTCTTTATTTTAACAGATTTGGCATCCTTCCGTCTTGCGGTGATGAGAAAATCTTTGATTTCTTGGATTTGCTTAGGCATGATGTAAACTTAACTTTAAAGATGACACAATAACTGTAGAAAATAAACAATGAATACGAAAAACAATTAGTTAATTGTAAATTAGAATCATAAATAAAATGAGAAACCCTTACCTTTAACAACGAGACCAACACTAAAATCCAGAAGCGGAAACACTTTCTTTCCCCATTATTTCAACCTCTTTCCGCATGAAGTTGATGGCGCTCAATTTGAATGTTAAAATGTTGGCAACTCAAAAATTTTGAGTCAAAATACGATTCATTGAAATTTGAAGATCTCATTATGATTATCTCAATTAGTAAATAAAAATAGAAATGATTACTAATATTTAAAATTTAGAGTTTTTAAACAATAAGTTTAAACACACAGACTACGGGCTAATAAAGCGATTCTTGTGTTAATTCATATTCATGGCTATTTTTTAAAAACTTATGAATGGTTTCTCCCCTTAGCATGAACTTTTCCTATGTGAAGTCAAAACAAATTGTATTAATCGTGAATGAGTTTGCCTGTTGGTCTAGGCTAAATTAGTTTTGGATAAATCAGGTTAATTCAGTTATGGAAGCTGATTCCTCGGATTTCAAGTTCAAATATTAAAAGAGTAGAAATCTGATTAAAAATTTGATTCGATGACTTCCTTGTTAATCCCACAGTATGGCATTTTTAAAAGTAATAGTAAAGCATAGAATTATATAAATCAAAATTTTATGTCAAATATTGATATAATTTATATATGCAGATGATATATATCAGGAAACTGGACTAGATTATCATATTTGATATTTACTGATTAGAAATTAAAGGTTATTCTGCTTGAAAACCTTTATTCAGTAAGGTTCGTGAACAGTTTATATTTTTCTGATCTTCTAAATTATCATTTAGTTTAGTAATTTTGCTCATTGTGACCATGCCTCAAATAACTCGATTAGCTTTCTTTGCGCTGCTGTTAATATGTTTATCTACAATTCAAGCAAATAGTGAAACACGAATCATCGTCGATAAAACTGAGGAAAACGTTGAAGGTAAGCAGTTTTTATAAATTTGAATGATTTTGATCAAAATCTATTAGCCATAAGCAAGTTAAAATTGAGTTGAGTGCGAAATAATTTAAGAAGCTGGTGAGACAGTATCCATTCTGTGTTCCTAGTAAACCAGCCATTCTAGCCTTTAATAACAATCCATGACAATCCAAGCAATCCATACTTGCTTTTGAGTAATAACTCATAGTCCGTTGATCCAAAAATTTCAATCTAAAATGTAAACATGCGAATCAATATGTGACCACTTATGCAAATTAAAGTGTGATATAAATCAATGAACAACTCGTATGAGAAATTAGTTTGTAGTTATTGAGGTATGGTTCAAGATTTTGTCCTTTTCTGAATTGTTTCTCAAATCAATCAACTGCATTGTATTCTGAAAGCAAGGCGAATCCAAGCATAGCGTCTTTGCTCATCAATATCCAAATAATGATCAATCAATCATTATGAGACAAACTTTCATTACCAAGATGGTAGACACTAATCTAAAACAATTGTTATCTAGTTGAAAATTTATCTAGAGATGGACGAGGTGTTTTAGCTGGAAGTGAAGGTGATGCTCTTTTTGGAATAGTGGAAGACTTTTACGCTGAATGCAAGCTTCTCATAACAAATTTCATCAAAGATTTTTGTGAAACGTATAAACTACCAGGAGACTTGATAAATTTGATTGTAAATTTAATCCATCCACTTGGATATTCGCCAGAATATGATTCGGAGATCGGAAGCTACACAGAACAACATGGATTGCCAAAACCAAAATATAGCTCACCAAGGCCTTATCCACCACCACAAGCCCACCATCGACCAGGTCATCCACGCTACTGAAATAAGCAAAAAACAATATTAACAGAAACTTATAAACAAAATGTAATTGACAAACTAAAACTGTAACCTTTTAAATTTCAATGAAACTTACGTTTGTTAATAAATGAAACAATAAAAAGAAACCAGTTTACCACCTAACATCACTGTAACGACGTTTCTCGTACTCATTACAGGTGGCAGCAGGATTGAAACTCCTCTTGCAACTTGTTTTTTTCACTCAAGTTTGTTTAGTTTTATCTGTACATTAGTGAAGTACAGTTTGATCTTTAATTGTTTGGTGTCAATTTTTAGTATTAGGTATAATCAAAGATTATGACTGATGACTTGAAAACAGTATTTACTCCCTGATCCACCATTCTGTTATTTTGAATGTGATTGTCATCCTCTTCACTGTTTGGAGCTTTATTTGTCGTATTGAATCGCTTATTCAAAAAACACTCATTTTGGATTATCATCAATTTAATTAATTCATTTGACAATCAACTTTTTTTTTCTCAGCGACTGATCGCTAACTGTACATATTTGTTTTAAATGTTACCCTTTTGATTGTATTCAAACTGATTTCACCTACTTTTCGATTTTGAATTGTGCACATGTATATTTTTGTGTGTTAATTGTGTTTATATTTAATATTTTGTCCATCAAACAACCAATGGATCAACTGTACAAGTTAATTAGTTTACTATGGTTGATAACAATTACATCAGCATCTCGTCATGGATTCCAAACCACACAATCTGGTGACTTTAAAGGTAATTTCATTAACTTATAACTTCAAGTTTATCCCCAATATTATTGTAAGATCACCAGAAGCCAATGTCTTCAAGCAACCTTGCCTTTACAAAATTCAACCTTTTTTTCCATCAGTTAATCATTTTCATCAGCAAACTGGAAAACTGTGATAATCTATTTTTGATCTACCAACCTTTGAAAGGATTTCTCAAACGGTTTTACCTGTTAACCATCAATCTGTAGTAGATCAGTAATGGAAGAAAATTATCTTTTCTCTTTCCAAGCCATTGCAAGCTCAAAGGTGAAAATTGGTCAAAAAATTAGACATCAGCTTGAGAATGGCAGTTAAGAGTCATAAGTTAAGATGGAAAACCATTTCCATCTCAAAGCAATGATTAATGTTTCCTTTTCAACCACCTAAATATATTGAGATAAAAGAAAAGACTAACAAAGTTCGAATCATTACCAAAATGTTGACAAAAGCGGTAAAAGTGTTGATAACCAAGCCTAACTCAAGCTTAGTTTAACCCAAAAGAACAGAAATTGATACCAATCTTTGAAATTACCTTTTACTTCTTGACGACTCATCTTTTTGTTGACCAATCGTTTTTGTTTTTAAATAATTCCTTTATTTGCGTTCACTTTACCATATCAACATTGTTAACAATTGAATCACAATTAGATGTCTTACCAGAATAGACAAAAGGAGATTAAAGATTAAGGACAAACTGGCCTTGAAACTACGCTTTTTGTTTACTAAAATATAAATATGATTGACTCACAGTTGAGTGGTGCGATGAACGCCTCGTTGATAATTGATCAAAAGTTGATTATCATGATCAGTTGTGAGGAATAGTTAAAATTTAAGCAAATTAAATGTATGCTGGTACAATTTGCATACAATTTTCATCGCAACCAAAACATATAATCATCACAATGATTCAATAGCTTCAAAATTCCTAGTTGACTGAATTTTCCAATTTCATTGCTGTCCACTTTCAAATATGGTTTCATTTACCAGCAATTTGAATGCAACAAAACATTCAACATGATATCACTTCAAACATTTAATTGTTCTAATTTAGAATCTGTGAGTTAATTCAATTGGATCTTCTCGATTCGTAGGTTTACATTTCTGATTCATTGCGATCATCATCGGGCGTAATCTTTTTACCGTTTATGGACTGTTAAGGGTCCTTGTAATGGTTTATTTGGTTGTTGATATTTCTCTTGATTTTCAGCCAATTTTGTTCATCTACCAAGGTTATTATTATCAACCTAAACCTGACAAAACTCAATAGCTGATGAACATCTTAACCATTTTTACTCAAGTTATTGAACACTCACAACCCACACAGCAATCTCAATAGTCAATGGATTCAATTCCTATTTAGATTTATTTTATTACACTAAATCATCATTCTAATTACAGTTACATCACTGTCAAGGTTTCCAATCAACCTTAGAACAATTCATAAAAATGACATTAATCAACTTTTCTGTAACAATTAACGTTAATTTTGTAAACAACCTCAACTAAATCTTTCGTTAATCATCAACTCTCATTGCGACCTTATAGTGTTTACCTCGCACAAATCAATGTTTAATTATTCCTAACCTTTAACCAATTTACAGTCAATTAATAAACCTTATTGTGTTTAAAAATGAAAAGTAAAGTTAAAACCCAATCACCGTAAATAATCAGATTCACTTTCATCGCATTTTAAATGTAATTATAGCCATTCAAAGTAACAATTAGTTTTAGACTCTTTGACTTACAATTACTTTAAACCTGAAACAAAATACTTTGATTTTTGAAGATCCAACAAAAGACAATTTTCAAGCTAATTTCATTTGTAGTTAAACCATCATCAACTGTAATCATCTGAACAATTAACAATGAAAAATAATTATTACCAGAGTTTCAAGTGTAATGAATATTGTAAATTGAAGGGAAAAACAAAATTTGTAAATCGATATCAACTGATTTTTGTGTTTCATTTCATTTCAACAGTTGAAATTTCCTGATTTTCAAACGAAAAAGAAAATTAATTTTTTGCAAATTTTCTTTATTGTATTCAAATGTAAATATAACATCTGAATGTTTTTCTGGCAAAAAAATTATCAGTTTACCCTTAAAATTTTATGATAAAATTGATGAGACTATTTCCGTAATTGAAATGATTTCCTTGAACATCATGTACAAGAGGCGTTAAAAGATGCAATGAAAATACACACACAACAAGAAGAAAAAAAGTAAACTAAAGTGTTCAAAGTTCTGTGTTCATGGAAGGTTTGATGTGAGTTTTCACTTAACTGATAATACAAGATTCACTCTGAAAAAAAGGTCTGTAAAAGGTTAACGGAAACTGGCCTTGGGAATGAGTCTCAACTCGCCCGTCTCTTAAAGCAACCTCTTAAGTCAAGTTTGCAAATTAAATAGTCAGCTCTTTTCATACTCATTACCATCCTTTGGATAATGATCATGTTGATGATGATAATCATAGAAACGCCTGCATTTTGATAGACTAGTTTACTCAATGAAATACTGTTGATGAAGAGGAGGAGGAGGAGGAAGAAGAGCAACTTTCCTGAACATCTTCTGTTATTATCAACTTTCAGTTACTTCCTCTCAATCTTGATATCATTATTATTTCCCTTTCATTTCTGACAATCACAGTTTTCTGATGAATAATGAATAACATTTCTCACCTAATAACAACCTGAGAAATGATAAGTCAACAAAATGAACACCAAACAAGAAGAAGAAAATTGAGAAAACAAGAAAAAATTTCCATAACAGTTAACCTCTTTTATTGTTATCATCGCCATCATTTCAATTGAATTTTATTATCTCCTCATGTCCATACTTTGATATTGTCATGAAATTATTTTTATCCTTAACAGGATTTAAAGAACTGTGAAAAGCGTTTCAATTGCATTTGATATCGCACAGTTTATTTACATTTTACAAGCCAATGTCTACATTGTAAACATTGATATTTGACACTTTTGTATATTCATCTTTGTACTTTGTATTTTGCCTGTTGAAATTATTTTAAATAGTCAAACTGATTTCCTAAATTGATAGCAATAATGATGGCGATGGTGATAATGGTGAAATTGAGTGACTAGTTGATGGATAATCATGGATTTGAATTTGAAAAAAGTAGACTTTAACTCTTGAAGCATAAGAAGCAATCGTTTTGCTGTAATTTAGTGATAAATTTTAAACCATTAACATCATAATTTAACCTTAGACTTTCTTCATTTTATATACATAATAGAGTCAAGTCTGAGTCTTGAGTCTTTACCATTCCGTCAAGCTTAACCGACCATGTCGTTTTTAATTGAGGCAATCTTTTTTTTCTCTTGCTTATCATCATCATCATCATCGTCTTTGGATTATTCATTAGTTTTGTTTCCTAACATGATGATACAAAGATGAATGATGAGCTTAAAATTGATGTTTAATCGGTCCAAGATCAACCCATTCAACAAGCTACAATAACATTCATTCAACATCAAAAAGAGTAAATCGCTATTCTCTAGGTTAACTGATCACTGATCAACATCGATATAATGAAATAACCTTTGAAAGATGATTTCCCATCTTTTCCATGAGACTTCTTTGATTCCATTCTTAAAATTTAGAGCAAAAAGAACCTTAAATTGAGTTTCTTTTGCCATTCAACGATTCCGATCAATTCTTGAGCCTTGCTTTTCGCACTTTACAAATCTTTTGAATCCAGTGATAAATGTACCTTAATTTGTGTCAGTAATCATACAAAATTAGTTGATTTATGAATTTCTGATGAGAGAAAGTTAATGATAGCAAGTGTTTCATTGGCAAAAATATCATCAAAATATAATTTAAAATGGCAGCTCCAACAAAATGCCTTTAAATTGCTCTTTTCACATTCATTCAACATTAAAATGTTGATCTTTTTTGTGCTTTTCTTGTTAACTTACATTTACCTGTTTTTTTGTCAGGTTGGGAAAATAAAGTGAACTGAAACAAAAAAAGTAACTAACCTCTTTAACCAGCATCTAGTTAAGACAAATATCTCTGTCCTTTTTTTTGGTTCCTTTGTTCATTTTTGAATATCTTTTCACTTTAAACTCTTAACCAAGTTTATATAAAATTGTCTTACCTTTCAAACCTACCTGGGTGTTGACTTCCTCTTCACTCTCTTTCCTTTCACTATTCAAGTCTAATTATGGATACTTGAGTTTCTCCCATCATTATCATCATCTTACCTTAACTACTAATTTACAATTTGCAACATTTAGACTCAGCTATTGCATTAATTCATTTGATTCAATTTTGATTATTTGGACAGTCATGATGCTTTTATGCTAATTGTTAATCTTAGGCTTTGTCTGATCATTTATACATTGTATTGAAATTAAGTTTAATCTTTTACTGTTTAATTGACAGCAGATTGATGTGATTTTCATGTAAAACAGTAAAATGATTGAATTTGAAATCATTTTATTGATAAGTTAGTCGATGACCTGAATTGAAGGTAGGAAACGAGATGAGCATTTTAATGATAATTGTTTATCATTTCAGAATATTTAAAATTAACTGAAAATTTCGTCTAAACTATTTCATTTTATATATCAAACTTGTTAATCAAATTGAATTTTTGATTTACAATTTTACCTGGAAAAGCCTCCATCAGTAACAAAATTAACTTCATTTGGTAGCAATGATGTTATTGTCTGATGATGTTGTTGATGATTTAAACAAGTTAACCACACAATAGACAAGTCAATGGCCTGGAAAGGAATCAACAAAAATCACAATTAAGATTGACAAAGAAGTTGAAGTAAAGGACATTCACAATCAACAAACCAATCAAATGAATAGTCTAATCCTGGTTGCTTGATTAACCATTCATTTACTTACCCATTCTGTAATTAAAGGCTCAAAAGAGCAATTATAAACTTCTAATTACCGCACATGATCATCTAATTTGATTTACCATGAAAATCAAAATAATTTGCTTTTGTCAAAATCATTGTCAAAACAAAGAGTGTTGCTCAGAGTGGCTCAAGCAATCACTCACTAGAGTGCTGAAAAAGAGATGAAGACGAAGATAAAAATAATAATGTTCATGTAACGATTAAAATATTGTGTCTCTGTTACTGTCGTTAGCACACTTTTCCCGTCGAGGTGTTCAAGTTGACCAAGTATTCATTGAAACTGAATTGTCAATTGAATTTAATTTTTTGCTATGAATTTTCATTTTTACAGTTGATTTGACAAGTTATCAAAGTACATATTTTTCATTTATGAATGTGAAAAACGGTTGATCAGGTTTGATAATGGGTAACTGTCACCAACAGACAACAATCGGGATCATTTTTTTCTTTCATGGAATCCGTTGAGAACTTTTCTTTAGGTATTTTTTCCGCCATGAAAATTATCTCAAACTATTACAGAATAAGAATAAAGCTGCTCTTGAATGATCATTTTTTTGGGGAAGGAACGTTGAAAGAACTGAACAAAGATGAAATGAAATAACTAGAACAGAAATGAAAAGATCAACTATCTGATAACTCTTATAATCTGTTGATGTTTCATTGACATTGATTTAGTGATCATGTAAGAAGAAGAAACTGAAAAAAATAAGAGACAGAAAAAGGGTTAACATTGCGGATGTTAACGTTTCCACCAACCATTGTTGATCCAATTGAACACGTAATAATACAGATAATGTGATCTTTTCTTGTAGTTGATCATCTTCAATATTTTCAATTCATCAAGTTCGTTCTTAAAACTCTTACAAGTTGAATACATTATCATGGTTATTGAATTACTCTTCTGTTTTCTGTGTTTTTTTCTGCATCTGTCAAGTTGAACCAGAAAAAAAGAAGCAAAGAAAACACTCAAGTTCTGAGAATATTTTCTTCTCATTGATTATCAGATTATCTCACGTATTTTTATGGTTCAACTGAGTGTCTCTAATTGATTAACAAAATAACTGGTAACAATTATTGTCTCAGCTATGGATGGTTAAGTTCATGATAAACTTTTCCCAATGAAAAACAAAAACAAAACTCACAATTCAGCAACAAGAACTTCAAAATTATCCGATTATCAATCCATAAGAAAACTTATCAAGTTTCCGAAAATTCATCATCTACAAAAACTATTCAACTATTCCATTCACAAAACATGACAATTCCTGACATCGAAACATTATTTAAGTCATTAGAATCATTTCAATCAAAATCGAGACACAATATTAAGACGCAAAGTCTTCAACATCTAACATGAATTTTGTAATTATCATCTAATCACTGAACATTAGAAACTCAATTTTGGCAAAAAACCTCGAAATCATAAGTTCTGATGCTAAGCATCTTTCAAGTATCTTTGTTAGAAGCAACTTTCCCATTCCGCTCTGAATTTTAAAAGGAAATTCAATGTTTTCGCCAAACAAAATGACGGAATTTCCATCGTCATTGTACATTGTATTTGGTAGCAATTAATTGAAATGACAATTTAATCAGATTTGCGTGGATGGAAAAGCAGAAGTTGAATGGAAATGCTTTTTCATTCGTTTTTCAAGGTTTGGATAAAATGTTCATGTCTTCTGGTGATCAAATGTATTTAAATGCACTTTTTATTAACTCTTTAACTAACCAAATATTTATATTGTTTCCTTGATTTAGTTCAAATAAAATGCTCTGAAACTTTAATGGAAGTAACTGTTGGCATTACCAAGGAGAATCCAAATGTGGTCATTTACCTGGAAAAGCTAAAAGGTTATCCAGGTAAGTAGTTTCTCTTCATTATTCACCTTCCTTCCCTCTCTGGTTGTAATGTAAGTTAATTGCAGTTGATTATCTGATTATCATGAAACCCTCAGCTTTACCTTTTTTTCCCAAAGATTTAATCTCAGGTTAGTTAACAGAGAGCGATGAATGTGAATAGCGTAAAAAGATGAAAATTAAAAGCATTTACTTTTATTTGGTTATCTTTGAGTTAACTTTTTGTTGGCTCAGTTTTGCCCAAATTAATCGCATGTGAAAAAGATGCTGGGAAAAGTGAACAATTAAGGTTCACTTTGATTGTTAAATTGTTGATGAAAAACAAAAGAAAAGGCGAAGCTAAAATTAATATCTAAACGTTTGAGAGTTCATTTGTATTGATATTCAATTGATATGAAGGATTCAATGAAGTAATTAACTGATGCTTTATGTAATTGTATCATTTGTGGTGTCAACGGTCAACAATAAAGTAATTTGTTTTACTGCCAAGAATAGCCATTAACAATGGAAACAAATTTTTTCCTTCAAATGTTAAATTACTCTTCCTGCTTCTTTAATTGTCCATTTAACTGTCCTTTCGATTTCGCTTTTTCCCACTTTTCCAACCTTCGATTTTAAGACCAGGAAACTGACCCAAACCATTTACACTGACCTAACCTTAACATGCTAAACGTGTGATTATATTCACAAAAAAGGTTAATTAGTTTGGATGCTAAGTCAACATTTAATGTCATTTGGAGAAAGAAGAAGTTCTAGACAATTTTTACCTTTTCTCTTTTTTTGGTTCAAAACAAAATCTTTTTTTGCCTGAAAAGTCCATTAAGAAAGAAAAGCTATTTTGACAAATAACGGGTTCAAGGGCCAATTTCACTCGTCATTTTGATTTCAAGTTGGACTTTTCATTTTACTGAAAAATCTTTATTTCTTGGAACATCAATGATCAGAAATTTGGAATTTTTTTCTCTAAAAACTATGAACTCGAAAAGATCAATGTACCAATCTCATTGTCTTTTCAGTGTTTAATACTGTAATAGTACAGTTTGTGGCTGATGAAGTTTTGAACGGCTTTTCGGTGTCGTTTAGCTATTCATCAAACTTGACAGCATTTTTGTCACTTGAATGTTGTAATATTTTCAATAGTTGGAAAATGACTGACAAGATTAAGTTGAATTTTATGATCCATGAGACTGAAGTTTGTTGTAACCTTTAACAAGACCCAAGTTCTAGTCTCGTCTACTTAACATTGATAACAGTTTTTCCAGTGCTTTTGTTGATTGGATATTGAAAGCGATTTTCTGGTGAAAAAATGAACTGAAAAACCAGTCTTAATCCAGCTTCATTCATTTCTCATTCTGAGCATAGATAACTTGCAAAGATGGGAAAAGATTGATGGACGAAGGTGAATTTGCAACGAGAAAGATTTGAAGGAAAGAGTTCGTTAGCATTTTTGAGAGTCGAGCAAGTGGAACCAACCATAGGAAAAGAAAGATGATGAACCAAAATGAAAGGCACAAAAGTAAATAGCAATGAAAGAAGTTAATTTAGGGTAATTTCCTAGAGAATCTAAGGAAAAGATTAAACTTATTCTTTACCTGTCAGGGAAAATCAACACCAAACTCGTTTTACATGTTATTGTGCAAGTATTTTAATAGCTCAACGAAACAAAAGGTTGACAAAATGAATATAAACTGTGTGTGACAAATGGATTTGTAATCAATGATTTGCTGAATGAAAAGTCAGTAACAACTCGATACAAAATTGAAAGGTCAATCAATACATTCAATACAAGTATGTCACTTATTCATCAATAAGTTAGATTTCATGAAATCTCACCAAAAATATTTTCCGTTTCTTTGTTCGATATGATACAAAGCAGCAGAAAGTATGAATGATAGTTTAATGAGCAACGATAAATCTGAATAATCTTTTATATTTGAATCTGACTTTTCATACAATCGTAAGTCAGTGAATATTGAAAAATACAAAAAATTTTAGTTTTTCCTCTTTTCTGTTTCAATTTTCTCGTTTTGTCTTCTGTTGTGATTCAAACCAAACCAAACAAAACTTCAATAAATCATCCGTTTGTACATCTTTAAAACCCTTTCACTTTCAACTGTACTTTTAGAACTGAAATAACGATTTTACGATTTTTAGATATAAAGTGTTAATATCTTATCTGAATTATTATTGTTATCATTGTTTGTCTCAACATGAACTTGATAAGCTTTTAATTGAATTGAAATGAGATTGATTTCACCATTTTACTGATCGAGTGCGGTGTTAAATGGCAAGATTAATGTTTCTTGTTGAAATGTTTCACTATTTCAACTGTTTATCAAAGTGAAAGTAAAAACGATAGAATGTGAAACAATAATGAAAACATGATAAGTTTAAAGTACTTTGATAATGGATGATGACCTTTCTTGATAACATTGGGTGTTGTTTATAACTATTTTTTATTTCAGTTCCAGTTTCTGATCATTTCCATCATAATCATGGCATGTAAAGGTTGAGATATTATTTTCAGTTGATATGTTGATTATGAAAATTGATAGCAGGAAATACAATGAAAAGAGCTTTTTGTGAGCAATAATTAACTTACAGATTTGTTGATTGACATGATCAGAATCATCATGACCTCCTCCTCTTCCTCATCTCATCATACTTTTTTTTACATATCAAATGATGAACAAGATGTTGAGTTTCATCTTGCACGCTACAGGGTAACCCTATTGTAACTTTGTTATAACAACTTTCATTTATTCACATTTCATTGTATCATACTGAAATGGTAAAATTAAATGTTGAGATGAATTTACGAGAATCAGATGAAAGCAAGAAAAGGTAAATCAAAAGTTGAAGTTTGCATGATCTTGTTTTCAACTTTGCAGGGTTAAAGGAAAAAAAGAATCCAATTGAAAGAGAAAAGATAATTTTGTTGGAGAAAACTTTCTACTCAGAGATGGATTCATGAACTTTTTTCTGTTGAATAACAATTAATTTCATGTATAAATTGTATACATTATCAAGTGATAACTGTTTTTATTGTTGATCAAATGAAAATTCATTTCTTTGTTACTTTAGGTTATTCAACTTAATCCAATTTCAATGGCAACTTGAATCCATTGAATGTCTAATGTTGAAAAATATTGAAATTCAAATGGAAGAAGAAATTCTGATTTTGATTTGATTGAGTTAATTAAACTGAAAGATTCAAAGATAACTGTTGTGAAAGAAATTGCTTTCATTGGAAAAATTTCATGGTGAAAATTGAACAAGAGTTGATGGAAAAGTGAGATTCAGATTTTACCTGTTGGACTTGGTGAAAGTGAATATTCAATGATGAAAGTCAAATGATTATTGATTTGATTTGAAGTTTATCCATCAACCTTTAGTTGACTGACTTGATATCAATGGGCTTTCATGTTAACGGATAACAGTGTTGAGGCGAGTCAAGAGTGTTGTCAATGTCCTGGAACATTAGACATCTTTTTTTCTGGGTTTCATTTCAACCAATTTCACTTGATATAACATTCATCTTTGATAATTCAATTGAAACTTGTAATGACAAGTGTCGAGTGAATCACGTTGACGATTAGTGTATTAAAAGTCAATTTCAGTTGTTTTCCTGCTTTTGCCTTCTGACCTTTTCTTTACTGTATCTTGGTAGCCAATTGATGAGTCCAACTTTTATCTCAATCAAATTATCTTAGGATATTATTTATCATCTCTGGCTTATTTCATGATAACTTCCTTGACTCTTCTTGAAAACCTTTTATTTCCGCAACATTCATTAGCTTCTTTTGTTTTTACACCAGTTTAACTCTTTACTTCATCATCCATCATCATTTTTATTTCAAAAACTCATCAACTAATTTCTTCTTTTTTCTCGTTTCTTTTACGTTTCCATTTCAAATCCAATTTAAAAGGTTGTCAACCTGAATTACTCAATGATAAAGCTGTTTTTCGCCTTCCATTGGATGATAACTTTTACACCTGTGGAACCACTAGGATACAAAATAAGTTAAAGGTAATTGTGTGTGTAAATGTTTACAAATTTTTCAGTGAAATTATATCTCATAACGTAATCATTACATGATTCAAATATCATTTCATGATATGGGATTAGCGTGAGATGGAAATGTTGACAAGATGATATATTCATTTTCATTCATTATCATTCATTTTCTTGTCCAACCTCAATCACGTTATTGGTAAACATTTAAATGCAATTTTGTACAACTTTCACCTGATTCAACTTTTTTTTTGCTTCATGCTACAGGATGTTCGTATATTTTACAATCGGGTTATAATTGAAAGGCCTGATAAATCAGCCGAAGTTGTAGTTCCAAAATGTGTTCTTCGCAGTGACTTGGCCTACCGCTTACCTCGATCACGTCGGCAAACTGGCAACGACTGGGAGTTGCCAGAAAATTTCACCGAATCAGTAGAGTAAGTTGAGTTTGGTAAAGGTTTTCGAGTAAAATTAACTGAAATTTTCTTTCTATTACAGAGAACTCATTGATTACAGTGGTAATATTACTGAACACGCGCCCATTCCTTATCTCAATATTGGAGTTCGGCAGAATGGACGCTTCGTTGATACAGCTTTGAATGTTCATCCAGGAACTCCTCTTGAGATGGTCATTTATTTGGATGATACAAGTGCACCAGTTTATGGTTTATTGGCTCGTTATCTTAAAGTAACGGACAATACGCCAAGAAAACAAGAGGAAACAATAATCTTAGAAGGGTAAAGGGATATTTTCAGCTGATAAAGATTCAGTTTTACCGATGAGCTGAGCTCTCATTTTGTCCCTTGAGTTTTTCAAATTTCAATCTTTCATTTTCATCTGTTTGAAGTACAACTATTTTGATCATTTGCACTAAAAGTGAAATCAATTGTGAAAAAGCATAATCGATGAAGATGGACTGAAAATTAGTTCCAAGTAAATTTTGAATTGATCTAAGCATCAATAGTAAATTGAAATCAAAATAATCCGCTTCAGCATATCATCAACCTATTGAGCTGACATGATGGAAACTTATTTTTCGGCAGCTTCCAGAGATTTTGAAAACTAATAGAAATTGTTTAATTAGCTTTCTTGAAAAAGTGACTTCAGAAGCTGGTTTTATCTAAAAATTGAATGAGTTTATCATAACTTGAAACGAAAATTTACTCTCAAATCTTATCGATCGCACCTTAATTGTTTGCCGTGTTAGGTGATGTTTTTTTCCTTAAATGGTCAATTTTCAAGTTTACTTAAAGCATTGTTTCTTTCATTTGTTTAACTTACAGACTTGTTAGAGTTACAGCCTTTGAATCTGTATTTATCTTGCAAATATTAATGTTTTTGTTTTTCAAAATTGTTTCAGATGTTCAATTGATCCATACATTTTTTCAAACTTCGAGTCCAATGATGGCGGTGATTCGATTGTTGCCAAATTTCGAGCATTCAAATTTCCGGAATCAAATTATGTCTTATTTGTTGGAACTGTTAACGTTTGCTTAAAAGAGTGTTTAGGAGTAAGTTAGCCAAAGCTATCAATATAATCGCATGATACTAATTGAGTCTCATTACAATTTAATGTTTGTTGAAAGTGCCGTGAAATAGTTAAATACAATCATCTTTATAGATTGGCCAGTGAATGATTGATCATTTTGCTTGCAGTCATGAAGAATTGACACAATTTTTGATAAATTATTGATTCATGTTTGATCCTTTTCTTCAGGTCATTTGTGGTAATAATCAATTAGGCTATGGTCGACGCCGGCGTTCAATCATTAATCCAGATCCCAACAGGATATTTGAGATAGAAATGACGGCTTTTCTGAAAGTTGATTCATTAGAGATGGATAATGGTCCAGTACTGAAAGGTAATTATGGATGAAACTAATCAACTCTAGACTCTCAATTTGACTCATTTATCTTCTCTTTTTCAGGCTCAGCAAGATCAAGTCTTGGTGATGATAAAAGTTTAAGTCGTCAGGATGAACCTAAACATGAAGCAATATCAAAGGAGAAACAAGAATCTCGTTCTTTACCTTTACTTGATGCTTTTAAAACGGATCGAAGAAGATCATTCAATAAACTGGAATCATCATCGGCAACCAGTTTAACCATATCACTAACAATACTCATACTAACATCAACTATCAACTGTTTCATTGCTACACTACAACATTAATCAGCTTTAGATTGTGATTGAATATTTTTTATCATATTTTTTCATTTCCCGCTCATTTTCACCTCAATGTAAACAAAAATATCAAATTGTTGCAACCTTTTATTGGTCATTTGAATACGATGTTTCAATTAAAATGAAAAATGTAATGGACGGGAGTGAAAAAAGATTGTTTTGTTGAACAAAAAGTGTCCTTTGCCTTTGTAAAGTTTCCCTAAAACTTTCACCTTAAATCATCATCAATTAACTTAAAAAGTGAAACCAAAAAGTCTAAATCAATTTTAGGGATTTATATAATTGTAAGAACTTAAAGTTTTGTAAACTCGTTTTTTCATCGAATTTTCATCTGTTCTAATCATTTTTTTTACAATTCATTTATTAAAAATACTCTTTAAATCATCAAAAGTCAATCGGTGCGAAAATGAAAGTCAGCATTTCGTGTTCAACCAATTGCGTACTGATCCAATTCAAAATGAACCAAATCAATAAGTGAGCCGAATCTGCCAACTCTCCGATTATTTTTGAAACTACGTAAGACAGATCGCAATGAGAATATTTGATTGAAATCAATTTTTCGGTCACATTAGGGTGTCAAGTAAATTTTACGCTATTTAATAGCGATTATAGTGATGTTCGATATGAGTATTTTTCAAATATCGATATTTATGATATTGAAAGCTTTGATACAAGTGTATCAAAAAATATAACAAATATTTTTTGAAGTTTAATGATGATTGATCTTATTGAATTTCCTGAAGTTTTCAACTTGTTGGTTGAAAACATGAACTTTACTTGATTTATGATAACTTAAATTAACCTCTTCATCTATTCAATGTTAAATGTGACTTATTAGTCATGATTTACCTTTAATCTAAAATCATTTCAAATTTTGACTTTTTTGAACTTTTTCCTTGTCCACCTTCAAACCCACCAAGAATGACTTTGACTGATATTGAACACTTAATTCAGTCATAGTTAATCATCATAAACTCAATGATACATAATTAGTTTTGACCTGATAAGTCATTTCAAAGTAAACTATGAAAAACCCTTATTTTGACCTTTTCCCATCCTTTTCATGATGTGCAGCTACTGACTGAGGGACCTCTGATATCCCTCGATATTTCTATATATCAGTTGTTTCCTTCCCTTAAGAAAAATCTGGTGGTAATATTTGTTTATCTGTGAAACTCCTAAGCCATAAGAAAACCTCAGTTTCTCCATGCACTATGAACCCTAAAAAGTCCTAGGCAAAGTGCCCACTGTACGTCAACCACTCAATCTAATAGCTTAATCTTTTCTTCAATCATTTACTATTGACCTAATCTAGCTAACCTCAACACATTTTCAACCCTTTGCTAAAGGGTGTTACACTTAACAGCCTGCAAATTTTGCAGATAAAAATAAAATTGAGCTTACCTTTATCTTAAAATCTGTTGATATTGATGAGAATGAACACAGATAATGAATCGCCAGAGACAGGAAATCAAAACCAATTGGTCAATTTCATCAATATCAACAAATTTTTTGATTAAGGTAAGCTCAATTTTAATTCTTATCTTCTAAATTTGCAGGCTGTTAAGTGTAACACCCTTTATAAACAAACATGCATCCCTAAAGCAATCACTTTCCTTGGTTTTCTTCCACTCGTCTATCTTGACTGTCGCCCAATCTCTTACGCATCGAGGACTCAAAAGGGCTACCGTACCTACCCTAGTATAAATACCTAAAATGTCACCTAAACACGTATGGTGTGTATTTGTCGTATGTTCAGTGTATTTGAACTTACTAGTTATGTATCTTTTTTGTATTTTCTTATTGGTGTTAATTTACTTAAAGTTGAATCTGGTCATTTTGCTTCGTTCATCATCTTTAACATTTTTGTAGAAACTCATTTACAAGCGAGTTAAAAGTCAGTTTCATCTTTAGATTGCGATTATGTCGTTATCTACCATTTTTTCACTTGCAAACCAGTCAGAGATATTTTCCACGTCAGGGGATTTTGTATAAACGTGTTTTTGAAGAAAATTTTTTAAAATTATGTCTTATACACCGGAAGAACGTTTTTCTTGCTAAGGTCATAATTAATCCCCGATGAAAAGGTGTTTCTTGGCTCAGCGACAATATCAGACCCAATCAAAACAAAAAAGGAGGGTTTATCAACAACGCAATACATTGAAAATTGAGTTTGAAAAGCCATTTTTTTCGAATTTCCTTTACTAATTTTTTGTTTCAAAAAATTCTCTCTTTTGGATGACAATGACCGGCGGACTGGTCGAGCGAAGTAAGCACGCTCTAGTGAGGACATTAATATGGTGGAAGATATGATCGATGCCCAACGACATCAACAAGAGAAATTACCTCTTCTTTGGATTTATCTCAATCAACAGTGGTGCGAATAATAAGGAAGGACCTCAGATTGTTGCCTTATGAGATCAAGGTCCATCAACCCATCAAAGAAAATACAGCAGCCAAAAGATTCGAATTTGCCAATATTATGCTGGTAAAAATCAAATCAGGTGAAATTGATCTAAAGAAGATCATATTCACTGTTGAATTTCAATAGCAAATTTCAGGATATGTCAATCAACAAAAATGGCGTCATTGGTAATCGCAAAAACCGGGCTTTAGTATTGTTATACATTTGGATCCTGAGAGAGTAACAGTTTGGAGTCATTTGGCCTTTTTCTATGGACGTGTGATTACCCTGGGATACCTTCAAAAGTTTAACGAGGTTTAAGTTGCCCGCCTTACTCACCTGACCTCAATCCGATAGATTACTTTGTTTGAGGCCATAAAAAAGATAAAGTTTATAGAAATCAAACCCACACTATACAATCGCTCAATACTGGTATGGAGGAAGCCTTTTCTTCTACTTCTATTGAAATGTGCGCAAAAACAATCGAAAATTTTGAGAAACGACTGCACCACACTGTAGCATGCGAAGGCAAAAATCTCGAAAATTTGGTAATTTAAAAAACAAAAAATCCCCCTTCATAGAATTATTTTGGTGTTGGTAATATTTCTGTATTCTCTCTTATTGAAATTTTTTAAGCAATTGAAAATGAAACTGACTTTTCACTAACGTTATATTGAATATTTTGACTGCGTGTCTATTTGGTGTGAGTATTGGCCGTGTGATTGTTTTATTTTGATTCAAATTGTGTTTATTGAATTCATAAACAATAGGTTATGGGCCCAGTCACGCTTTGCTGACTAGTGTTTGTTTGTCCTCAGTATTTTATAACTTAAGCTCCGAGCCTGAATATTGGCTATTGTGTTAACTAGTTGAACATCATCTTTTTGAATATTCATCATCGAAAACACCATCATGATTAACAACGACATACAAGTGATCAAATTAACAAAAACAAAAGATCCATCTGTAAATCTATAGGAATACTTAGAGTTCTTGATGGATCCTCACCACGTCCATCAACATATACTACCGCAACAATTGCATCTTTCACTCAACGTCATCAAAAGAAACATCGAAATGAATGATTGGGATGTCAAAGATTCCACAGCTCAACAACACATCATGCTTAGTATTGATTCTGAAGATGTAAGTCTGACAAGTTTATTTATCAATGCGACCACAGCTCATTTACCAATATTATTAATTTTAGAGAAGAGCGAACTAAACAAAGCTCATTAGTTGTCAAGAGAAAAATCATTGAAATTAAGTTCACTTCGGCTCACACAGTTGCTAGTTATTTCTCCGAACTTGAAACTGCTATTAAGTTGGATGCAGAGCGTATATTTAATGTTGGTGAAGAAAATCTGAATGTTCTGTCCTGAATCGAAATTTGAAAAAGCTTAAAAACTTAACAAAAATTGTCAATAACACTTTCTGTCAACCCGACTTATTAAAGCTCCAAGTAATTTTTTCTTATAAATTCAATATCTGTGCGATTTACGTTATTCCGCGACCGGTTTCATATTAATCTGCATGGAATTCCATGGTTTGCTATCACCATCCTATTCAATGAAACTATTAGCCGGTACTTTATAGCAATTTTTTCTTTACATTTTCATCTATTTGGATTAAAAAAATTGGCTTTTTTCTGATGCAGAACCACTTTGTATAAAGACCGGTACGTATGTCAAGCTTTTATTAGATTGTGAATGCTGATAATGAGAATTCATCACTTGCATAATCTTTACATTTCCATCCTGTCTATCAGGGTGATATATCAAAGCTAATTCTTCGTATCTAAATTTCACCGTTAAAAATCAGTTATTAGTATAAACTCTTTTAAATTAAGTAATAGTACTTACATTTTTTAATTGACTCCTGTGATTTGTAGCACAGAAGCAGGTCGGCTGACCGGTATATTTTAAAATAAAACACTTGTAACACACCCATAATTAAGAAAATGTGCTTAGTGAATTAGTTAATTATTAGTTAATGTTAATACAAGTTTACACCCTATCCATCGTTAGGGTGAATTGTAGTCTGAATATACAGGGTGACAAATGGAAACCGAACTACTGCAACTTTGAATTTAGCGGGATTTTCGCTACTAGCGATATCTTTTGATGTTTTAACCTAACTAAAGGGTCTATGCAAATCTGTTTTTGAGTATTTCTATAACAAAATTATTTTTTCAATTATGTCGGATTTAACTGTTGAACAGAAAATTCACCTCATTGAGGCATTCTACACTAGAGACAAATCAGTAACTGCAGCATGTAGAGCCATGCACAGCAAGTTTGAAAAGAAGGACCTACCATCGACTCAGCTCTAAAGAGGTAAGAATGAATTTTTGAAATTTTTGACTTTTTTGTGAAATTTTTGTTTCAATTTTCTCATTAACCACAACTTTAATCTATTCTTTTGCATGGCCATTCACAAGTGGTTAGAACACGCTGCGTTGGACGATAGACGCGCTTCCAATCCAGGCCCTGATTATAGTGTGACCACACCCGAAACCTTAGACGCCGTTGATGAATATTTTGAAAAGAATCCAAACGCATCGGTTCGGATGGCCGCTGCTGTGCTCAATTTGAACCGAATTAGCGAAGTACATTGGGTCGTATTTTCTGAGAACATTTCTGATCCTATTCAATAAATCCTTTTTGCATTTCGGCAGCCAATAGACCTTGCATTTAAAGTTTGCCCAAAAATCTTCAATGGGCTTTAATAGTGGACAATTATGTGAATTATCATTTTTTTACATAGTTGACACTGGTGCCCTCTAGCGTTTCGAACGATGTTCGAGCATAGTGACAGCTCGCTAGATCAGGCCAAAAGAGTATTTTTTTATTTTTATAAGTGCTTCTGAGCCAGGAAATTTGCATATTGCAATTTTGCATATAAATCTGCGTTCAATGAA